TATTAGTAATTCAGTTTAAGTATTTATGAGTCACTTTTTAAATTTCAGAAGTCAAAATTTAAGTATGTATATAATTTTTTTTTCATTCTTTTTACTTGTGAATTTCTCTCAATGAGACCCTAATATTTGAAATTTCATTGTTAGAGAATATATCAAAGAAAGAAATCATTGTAAAATATTGAATTATATTTTGAAGATTTCTCTTTTTAAATTCTAAACTATGCTGAGACATGGCCAGACTTGGAATTTTCCCTAGGTGGATATGGAGACCACCCTGTGTGCTATCCCATCACTGTCTACCAGCACAAAACAAGCCAAAGGGAATATTAAAAGCATTCTTTTTTTTGTGGGGAGGGGGATGCTGGGCATTGTTAAGGAGGAAAAGAGATGGCAAAGAATCAGATACAGACTAAAGAAGGTCTCTGCAGCCAAGGGATTATTGTGTATGGAAATTTGGTTTTGAGCCACATTGTTCTCCTTTAAGGTGCATTCCCTCCAGTCCAGAGTATGTATCTTGGCTCTGGTAGCAGAATACAACAGTTACTAATGGCATTATGTAAAAATGTGGATGTGTAACCGATGTGATTCTGCAATCTGTATTTGGGGTAAAAATGGGGGTTCATAACCCACTTGAATCTAATGTATGAAATATGATATGTCAAGAGCTTTGTAATGTTTTGAACAAACAATAAAAAAAAGGAATTAAGCTTATCAAATAAAGAAAAATAAACAGAGTGCTCAAGTGCTAAGCTGCTTTGACAACAAAATGGCAGAAGTCGGGCAGAAGGGTGTGCTCCTCAATTCCATCAGCTGAACAATGACAACGTCTTGCCTGGTTCACCAATCTTTCCAATTCTGTGAACTCAGTTCTTAAACATACCTGCACACATGCAGGCACACAGAGTATTAGCTATAATACGGGAGACAGAGAAAAACAATGCCTCTAAAATTATATTGCTTCCTCTCTCTGCTCCTAGGTTCTTTTTACCATGGCTAAGAGAAATTTTGTTCTTTAGCAACTTACTGCAAAGCTGGTGTTTCAAATTTCAAATGCAGCAGGCCAGGGAAATCCATATAGTTGTATGGGTTATGGATTGTACAAAATTACAGTTTGGTGTGCCCTAAATGATGCAGTATGCAAGCTGCATAACTGTACATGACAGCACTATTGGTGTTCTATAAATATATTTATAATTTGGGTATGAAAGAAAGAGGGGTTTTCCCCCACATTTTTTACTGGTACATTATAATTATAAACAATGGTAGGCTTCATTGTTACATATTCATACATGCACAGGATATAACTATGTATTTTTTATTGGTTCCTTTTAGTTATACATGACAGTAGAATCCACTTTGACATAATTATAAAAGCATGAAATTTACCTTGTTTTAATTCAGTCCCCAATACCTTTCCTACCCCCTTCAATCCCCCCAACCCCTTTTCCCTTCCCTTTATTGATCTCTCTGCCATTTACCCAGTTATTTTTTAAAATTAATTTCTTATGGATGTACACAATGGTGAGATTCACTGTGGTATATTCATACATGTACATAGTAACGTTATGTCAGATTCATTCCACAGTCTTTCTTTTTCCTATACCTCCTCCCTTCCCTTCATTCTCCTTTGTCAAATCCAATGAACTTGTATTTTCCCCTCCCCACCTTGTTGTGTGTTAGCATCCACACATCACAGAAAACATTCTACCTATGGTTTGGGGATTGGCTTATTTCACTTAGCATGATAGTCTCCAGAGCCATCCATTTACAGGCAAATGTCATAAAGTCATTCTTCTTTATGGCTGAGTAATACTCCATTATATATATAACATTTTCTTTATTCATTCATCCATTAAAGGGCACCTAGTTTGGCTACATAGTTTAGCTATTGTTGAATTGTGCTGCTATAAAAATTGATGTGGCTGTATCACTATAGTATTCTGATTTTAAATTTTCTGGATATATACTGAGGAGTGGGATTACTGGGTCAAATAGTGGTTCCATTTCTAGATTTCTGAGGAATCCCCATACTGTTATCCAGAGTGGTTGCACCAGTTTTTAGTCCCACCAACAAGGTATGTTGCTTCTACATCCTCGCTAACATTTATTGTTACTTGTATTCTCGATAATTGCAATTCTGACTAGAGTTAGATGAAATCTCAGTGTAGTTTTAATTTGCATTTATCTAATTGTTAGAGATGTTGAACATTTTTTCATATATTTGTTAACTGTTCATATTTCTTCTTCTGATGGGCTGGGGCTGGGGCTCAGTGGTAGAGTATTTGGCTAACATGCATGAGGCACTGGGTTCAATCTCCAGCACCACATAAAAAAACTAAATAAACATAGTTCTTCTTTTGAGGAGTGTCTGTTGAGTTCTTTTCCCACTGATTTTTTTTTTTTTGGTGTTAAGCTTTTTGTGTATTCTCTGGATATTAATGCCCTATATGAGGTGGGGATGGCAAAGATTTTTCTCTCATTTTGTAGGCTCTCTCTTCATGCTCTTGATTGTTTCCTTTGCTGTGCAGAAGCTTTTTAATTTGATGTTATCCAATTTATTGATTTTTTATTTTACTTCTTGCACTTTAGGAGTCTTATTAAGGAAGTCAGTTCCTGAGTCAGTATGTTGGAGTGTTGGGCCTACATTTTCTTCTAGCAGGTACAGGATTTCTGGTCTAATACATAGGTCTTTGGTTCACTTTGAGTTTTGTGTAGGGTGAGAGATAGGGGTGAAATTTCATTCTACTGCATGTGGATTCCCAGTTTTCCCAGCACTATTAATTAAATAGGCTATTTTTTCTTTAATGTATATTTATGGTGTCTTTGTCAAGTAGGAGATAACTATTTATGTGGGTTTGTCTCTGTGTCCTCTATTCTGTTCCATTGGTCTTCATGCCTGTTTTGGTGCCAATAACATGCTGTTTTTGTTACTGTCGCTCTTTAGTACAATTTAAGGTCTGGTATTGTGATGCCTCCTGCTTCGCTTTTTTTGCTAAGGATTGCTTTGACTATTCTGGGACTCTTAATTTCCTATATGAATTTCATGACTGCTTTTTCTATATGAAGAACGTCATTGGAAGTTTGATGGGAATTGCACTGAATCTATATAGCGCTTTTGGAAGTATGACCATTTATAACAATATTATTTGATCAATATCATTCTCTAGTATTTCCCCTTTCTCTCTACTCCTTCTCCCCTGGTCCTTTCCTCTATACTACTGGTCTACCTTCTATTTTCATGAGACCTTGCCCTCTTTTTTTTAATATTTATTTTTTAGTTTTAGGTGGACACAATATTTTATTTTTTATTTTTGTGGTACTGAGGATTGAGCCCAGTGCCTCATGCATGCTAGGCAAGCACTCTATCACTGAGCCACAACTCCAGCCCCCCATTTCTATTAAATGAAGAAGCCTTTAAAAAAAAGATTGGGAAAGAGCATGAGGAAGCAAAGAAGTGTAGGTGTGTAAATGAGAAGAATCATTATAGCAGTAGCAGGCAATTCTCTTCCAGTGTGTCTCACCAAAGCTCCCCCTTTTCTTCCTCAGGCTGATATTACCTTTTGACCCATGATGGATTCTAAGACAGAAACCATTAAAAACCCCTCAACATTGTATTCTACCTCTTTTGTAAGATTCACTTTTTTTCACCACTACTATTAAAAGATTCCATTTATTAATAGCTTTTTCTGAAAGCATCATATCTATCATTTGAATCTATAGAAACTCATAATTTTAAAAAGTTACTTACCTTTAGTTTTCTTACACATTTTTTTGGGTCAACTTTGCCTCTTTCTGTTTTACTCTCCTTTCCTCACATCTATTCCCCTGAGAAAGGGGGAGACAGGTAAGGCACAGGGTTGAGGAAATTAGAAGTGGATTTGATATGAGAGGATAGAGGTGGAGGGAAAATGGGTAAAAAAGTGGGGGAAAGTGGAAGAGATCATTAGAGAAGAAGTGAGAAAGAAAAAGGCCAAAAGCAGGAGAGAAAAAGGCACAGAAGGAGAAAGAACTTAATTTGGGTCTTAAATTCAAATTATGTTCTAACCACCTCACCTCATCAAAAATGCCTTAATTCTTTCCAGTGGTGTTCACTGTTAGATTTCACAAACCTGTTTCCTTTTAGGGGCATCCTTCCCTTTTTATTTTTAGCCCAGACTTCATAAACAGGGAATGAACCTGACTGTTTAGGATTCCAAGGAATATGATTTGTAGTATTTAAGAGGAAAGTAGAAAAGAGATAGGAGTGGGAAGGAACTCTCAATATGTCATAAGTGTTTTTCCTCTCTGTTAGAGTCTGTAAACAAGTTAGGATGGCTCCTGGCATTTTGCCAGAGAAATGTTAGAGTCTGTAAACAAGTCTGGATGGTGCCTGGCAAAATGCCAGAGGGAGTGGTTTGTGAAGTAACACCAGGGAGCCATTAAGTGTGGAGATTCCTTATCTAGTTTATGCTAATTAGATAAGCTGTGTGGAATGTATAAATACTGCTCCTGTCCTGCAATAAACGGCTTCCACTCCTGCTGTATCAATCTACACAAGTTGTTCGTCACCCCCCAGTTATTTTGCTGCAGCCGGACTGCGGCACCTCTCTATATACTTTGTCTCATTTCTTTCCATCTTGGAAAAATACCATGGAAGCACAGATAAGCCTATCATTTGGGCTCACTGTAAAGAAATCAGAAAAGCTAACAAGAATAAAGATTAGAAAAACAAGAAATTAAAAGTTAAGAAAGGAGAGAGATGGACTTAGATCCAGAGAGACAAGTTTAGCTTGGGACCTATCATGTAGGTACATAGGCATGTCATAAAAATGGTGTATTGGAAGTATCATTTTACCCAAAAATCTCATGCTGCAGAGATTAAAAGTAAAATTCTCTCAAACTGCTGAGTGGTGTGAGAGATCATTGTCCCTAACTAGCATTGAATGCCAATCAGAAATTTACTATTTTGGGGAGAAATTATTATTCTGGTTTCTAGCTAAAATAGAAATTGGAATTACAGACTCATTTTTAGTCTACACTTAGACTAAATTTAATGGAAAAAAATATTAAGATTTGGCTTTTGCAGGAAATAAAGTAGTGTTAAGGGTAAGAGTGTATGAATGGGGAAAAATGAATAAGAGGAGGGTGAAAAGGGGGAAAGAAATACTAATCAGGGGGAAAACTGAAAAACTATACAAGCCTAAGGAAAAAATGGGAAGATTGGGAGAGAGAAATAGAAAGAAATGAAAAAGTACATGAAAGAAAACAAACATGGAAAATAGTTAATACTTTGTGGAAAACTGTGTTGCCAATTTTGTATATTGTACTATCCTTGTTATTTAACAAACTCAAAGTGAACTTTGCTACTGCTCATTCATTGTATTTTTGCTTAGCTCCTGATTTCCAGAGCCCCATTTTAAGCTGCCTGCTAGATTTTAAAAGATGGGCCACCAAGACCACAAACATTTCAGCTTAAAATATTATATATTATAACTGCCTCAAAGGCCTTGAGACTACTCATGCCCTCCTCATCCCAGCCCCTGAACCACATGCACGCACATTTTATGGTTAGAGAAACGAGGGTCAGAAAAATTAAATGTTCACGTAACAGAGGAGATACAGTTAGATCTAAACCTGGGGCTTTTGATCCTAACTTCAGTGTTCAGTAGCTGATTTCTTCATCCTTTCCAACCTTCCGCTAATTCCTTTCCACACCTCATTTTATGGACTTACTCCTCCTCATCATGTAGTCTCCCAAACCATCATCCTCAGTATTTTTTTCTTGTTCTCACAGGCAGGCTGTGAGTAGCTTGTTGACCGTGTATTTTTGTCCTTAATTTCATTCTGACAGCTCCTTACATGGTTCAAGACTTTGTCACCCTTCACCTGGACTATTATAATAGCTTCCTAACTGGTCTCTACTTCTGGGCCTCCTCTGTCTTTTATTACAGTCAGCATATCGTCCTAAACATGACACCAGTTTTGTCATTTTCCTATATTTTAGCAGCTCCTCTTTAGCTACCTAACAGTTGTATACAAGTTTCTCAGCAAATATTATATATCTGGCTCCTGCCTTGCTTTCCAACTGCATGTCTCACTACTCCTAAATGGAACTGAACTGCCTTGTACTCTCCTATTGTTTTGATGTAGCTCACATCATTCTCTATCCAGGGTATCCTCATTTCTCCTTTCCTAACTCAAAACTGCTTCCTTTACAGTTTTGCATGATTTCTTCTCCTGAGCTAAAAATATTCTCCACTTTCAAAGTAGAGAATAATAACATTCTGAATTATGTTATTTGTACATGTTATAAGGCCAGGTAACCTGTCCTGTTATTTTTTAATCTCTCCCAGAGCCTACACCAAAGACTCTTCCTGCCTCATATGTAATATAGTCAGGCACCAAATGCTTGTTCAATTGAACAAAATTGAGTTTGTGGAAGAAGAGAATGAAAAAATTAGTCACATACAGAATAAAGTATCAAAGCCCTATGTTAATTTTAAATTTCCAAAGTCAAATAAATGAATGCCTCAGAATGTATGTAAAATGTACTAATTATATAAAAATGTTGTTTATAAAACTGCCAAGTAAAATATTTGCCTGTACTAGACATCTCTGAAGTTTCTAAAAATTATCTTGATTTCTTTACAAAATACAATTTGTAGTAGAAATTGACAGATGAAAATTCTATAAACCGCAAAGGAAATTTTGTATTTTTCTTATAAATGTCAGTAGCATTTTCCTACCATGTTCTCAGGTTCAAACCTATAATTGGAACATAGGCCTCATATTACCATGATGTTATCCAGTACTTTTGGACACTAATACCCAAAAGGAAAGCCTATAATCATTTTTTCTTTATTTTTTTTTTGTAGGACTCATAAATGTGACTACAAATGCTTTCAAAGTATTCAAGCTTTTTGAAATATCTTTTTTTTCTCTCTCCACTTAAGCCAAGTTAAATGTTACTGTTTCTTGTACAATATTTGTATGTGTGTGTGGTACTGGGGATTGAACCCAGAAGTATTCTGAGCTATACCTCCCCTTTTATTTAATCTTTTTATTTTGAGGCAGAGTCTCACTAGGTTGCTTAGGGCCTTGCCAAATTGCCCAGGCTGGCCTTGAACTTGTGATCTTCCTGCCTCAGACTCTAATGTGGCTGGGATTATAGCCACTCACTACAGTACCTGGCCCTATACTACTATTTTATATGCATAACTTAAGCTGAGGCCTGTTCCATCTCCCTAGTTAAAAAGAAACTTGGAAGTGGGTCAGTAGCCAGCAAATGGAGGGATACCCATGTATGTCCATAAGACAACCTTCATGTCATAAGTTTGTTATTCCAAGTTATCTTATTAGACAATGGATTTTATAAAGAAGAAACTGCTTCTCCCCAGAAAATGAAATAGTATCACCTAACAGTGAGTGAGAGACTAAAGATATAAGCAGGAAGAAACGAGGAGCTAAATGATTTACCAAAAATTTAGTTGTGCACAATCCCCCTTTATAGTTTGGATTCTTCCTGCTGAGCTAGTCTTGGATTAGTTCATGCCTGATGGGTTATTAAATTCAGGTAATTGGAAAACCAAATGCTACCAGCACAGAAAAAGAAATGGGAAGCAATGCCTGGCCACTTGAAAAATAGTCTGAGGATAGGCTTTGAGGAAGAATTTCTAAATGTAGGGCTCTCAGAATGGATTCTTTTCCTCTTAACTACTCTACTATTCAAGAACCAGAGGCAACTCCCAGACACCAAACATCACAATGAAATATGTGACGGAATTTGTTCCATACCTGAAGGATGTGAATGAGTTCTCATGCTCCTGTAAAAATAAACAGCACATTTCAAAAGTTTTCCATCATAACCACAACTATTTAGAAAAGAATTATTAAGTATGAGATAACTAGTCATTCTCTAAATGCTTTGTGGGTAGTAATGAACCATGTTTGGCAAGCTGAGGCTGTTATTGATTACAATATTAGATAAAATTATTTATTTACCGATTATCCAACCTGTAAAAGCTATAAAAGCAAATTTTATGTAATAACATATAATCTTTTTTATTGCATTTCTTTCCAGTCACTCAGTGAGGTTGCTGGCATCCCTAGTCCTGCTGCCTGTTAGTCCTTCCTTCTGGGCAGAGACAGATTCTAATTGCTGCTACTCAGGAGAGTAAATAAATAAATCAGTTTTATTGGTAATATAAGGTCTCATAGAGACCTTGGAGTAACTTCTGGATTGGATGGTTTTGAGAAGTCACCAATCTGCTAGCTTCTTCACCAACCTCTTGCTAGGGGTAACAACAATTGGGAATCTTGTAGGCAAAGAACATACCTTTATGTATACTTATTAACATTTCTTGTGGCTTATTGGATTAAACAGGAAATTAGTGGTCAGTTTTTCAGATAATTTAACTTTCAGAAATGTCTTTGGATAAAGAAACTTCTTTTTCAGTACCCCTGATTTATTAAAAAAAAAGTAGCAATAGTTAAAATACTTATTTTCTTAACTTCATTGGCATGCTAAAATATAAACCCAAGTCATTTAATTTTCTTTTCTTTCCCCCTTGGATTTTTTTTATTAGAATTTTATGGTTATAGAAGTCATTTAACTTTCAACATATTCTTGCTTATTTGCCAGATTGTCAATAAATATTTTTGACACATGCTGCTTGAGTAAAACACAGAGTTTAGAAAAGTTCCCTAATTATGATCCACTTTAAGGAGTCAGGCAAATACATCCAGTTCAAGTTCTAAAATTAGTCTTTCAGGAAGTAAATTTAAAATAGTAATTTTCTGAAAGATTCAAGATGGCAGACTAGAGGAAGGCTACATTCCTAGTTGCTCCATGGCTCAGGATTCAAGAAGCAGGAGTATTGTACTTCTGTGCAAGGTGGGTAAAGTAGGGATTTCACTGAAACTCATATTGAACAGACAGGGTGTCTTAGAGATTCAGAAATTTGGGTACATTAAACAAAGAAAGACTACATTGGAGCCAAGCTGTTTGTGACAGCAGTGGAAGTGGCATTGGTTCAGCACAGAAGGAAAGGGAACAGAGAGAAACACAATGGACAAATTTAGTTTGGAAAAACCTGAGATCAGAAAAGCAGCCTGCCCTTAGCTGATGCAGAGGCTGTACTGTGCACTGGTGCTTGAAAAGTGGCCTGTGTTTCCCAGCTGGGCATTCAGAGCTGAGGTGGGAGCTATCCTGAGGCAGCCATGCTGCAGCTGCTGCTGGGGAGCTGGCAGATCTGAGTAAACATGGTTACACTGTCTTAGCAAGCTCCTTCCACCTTCTGTATAGCCTAGGGTGTACTTAGCAGAATGGGAGCAAAACAGGCCCAGAGAATATTTTACCCAGGGGGATGCAAGTTGGAAAAGTGAAGGGGAGCCCAACTCACTTCCCCTTTGAGTCTGGTGGCTCACATGACTAGCTGAAGTGGTCAGGAATCTGAATGGGCAGGTATGAATATACTCACAAACTAAGCCTGGGAAGCCTGGAAAGACTGTGTTTGTGGCCAGAAGAGTAGGTGAAGGATTGGCTCCTTTAACCCATAAGAAGAATTTTTGAGAGGCTCCTGAGATGCACACTCCCTGCAGAGATAATTGCCAGGCCCTAGGGGTATGTTGATCTAATCTCTCCAAAGCCGAAACCACCCAGCAAAGCCACTGAGGCCTGATTAGATCTAAGCCTCACCTGCTGGAACTCCACTCAAAACTCTGCAGCAGCAACCCCCAGCCCTGGAGTGCATTGACCTGGTCTGTGTCATAAAACTCCAACTGACAGTACTTCCCTTCCCATTCTATCTCATAGCAGGGAGAAGAGAAGCTGAGAATTATTTGAACCAGTTTCATTCTTAGGCTATTCCAACTGGTAGTTTGGTGAACAACACAAAAAGAGGAAAGGGTTAACAACCCCCAGCCCTTGCTCTCATTTACAGTACGTAGCCAAAAGAAATGAAAAGAAAGACAGTTGGGCATAGATAGTGTCCATCTATTCTCATTGACTATTTTGATCACCTCAATGGAAATAATTCCTTAATTTCTCACTAAAATTTTGTTTTGCTTTGTTTTTGGTTTTGTGTGCATTTGCTATGCTGATTGGTTCATGTACATGTATACATATTTGTTTCTTTTTTTCTCATTTGTAGCATTTTAAAAATATAGTTATTTTTCCTTATCTTGTCTTTTGAGGGTTAGGGATTTTGATTAGTATATTTTTGTTTTATTTTATATTGTTTTTCATTTGTAAATTTCTCTTTCTCTCTTCTGCTAACAGCCAAATTCTATTGTTCTCTCCTTTATACCTCTCTTTACTATGTTATTTCTATTTCTTCTTCTCCTTCCTTACAACCATCACATATTATATCTTTTCTGCATTCTCCTTGTTCACTTTTTGAAATTATGAACTTTTCCCTACCTTTCTATCACATTTTCTTTTATCTTAATTAACTGCATTCTTACAGTCTTTTAGCACTAATTGACTTATATAACCGCTGTCCCCACCATTAATACTGATGCAATTATTACTGCTGTGGATGACATAGTTGACACTTGTTGTTTGTTTTAATGCCAGATATAGTTAATAGTTACTTATTGGTTTTGCTGTTGGAAATTTCTGACCCTACAATTTCTGGGTTTTTTTTTTTTTTTGCAATTAACATTGTAGATGTCATAGTAGGAACCAAGAACTTAGTTTAATGCTTTGTGTTGGTTGTTATTGTTATTTGTTGGTTGTTATTGCTATTGTTTGTTTACCCTTATTCTGTGAAGTGCTGGGAACCTACAGTTCATTAGGTAGAAACTTTGCTGCTGAACTAAACTTTACAAAAGACACAGTGCACCTTGCTCCACACACAAATTAATGGCATTCAAGCTTCCACTATACTTTAATAAAAGAAATAGATAAAAACTCAAGCTAATGACCAGGCCCCCGGAAACAACTAGGGGTAGGACCCCAGGTAATACCTATGGATATCCATTGCTATAGCAAAAACAGAGAGAAATAACACAAAAGCTGTTGAACACCTACAAGGGGTCTCAATCCAGATCACTCTAGGACATTTTAGCAAGTGAAGACTGTGCTGTACAAAGAATGGAAGAGAAATTCCTTTTAACAAAGGCATAAAACCTACCATATAAATTTAAGAAATATGAAAAAACAAGCTAGCACAATGCCTCCTAAAGTTCAAATATACCAGCAAATAACCCCAAAGTATTGAAGTGGATTAAATATCAGATAAGGAATTCAAAAGAATCATTATAAAAATGATCAATAAATTCCAAGAGAACACAGAAAAATAACTGAATGAATTAATGAATTAAGTATAGAATATGAATGAGAAATTCAATAAGGAGATAGAAATAGTGAAAAAGAACCAAAAAGAAGTCTTGGAAATGAACGATACAGTAAATCAAATAAAATGTCTGGTTGAAAGTCTCTGATAGAGTAGACCATGCTGAAGACAGAATCTCAGAGCTGGAAGACAAAGTGGTTATCCTTGTATATTCAGGCAGTACTAAAGGGAAAAAAGTAATCAGGATCAGAATATAAAAGAAATCTGGGACAACATGAAGAGACCAAATTTAAGAATTACTGGAATTAAGGAGGGCCGTGAGATACAGGCTAATGGAATGAGTAAACTCTCCAGGGAAATAACAGAAAAATTTCCAAACCTTGAGAATAAGATAGACATCCAGATACAGGAGGCATTCAGAACCCCAAGTAGACAAGACCAAAAAAGAACCTCTCCATGACACATTATAATTAAAATGCCTAACATACAAAGAAGGATAGAATTTTAGCCTCAAGAGAAAAACATCAAATCACATTTAGAGGCAAGCCAATAAGAATCATTTCTGATTTCTCTGCACAAATTGTACAAGCTAGGAGGGCTTGGAACAATATATTCCAAGTCCTGAAAGAAAATAACCCTCAACACCAAGAATGCTATATCCAGCAAAAGTATCATTCAAAATTCTTCAATATTTCAATTGAAATAAAAACCTTCCATGGTAAGTCAAAACTAAAAGAATTCATGACTACTAAACAAGCACTATAGAACTTACTTAAATACCACACATAGAAGAAATAAAAAACAAACCTCAGAGCTCACTAAAGAACAAATCTAATTTGAAGAGTAGCTAAGCTAATGATAAACAGGACCAAATTAAACATAATACTGATGCAATACGATAAATAAATCAAATGGCAGTAATTAATAAATATTTCTCTATAATAACATTGGATGTAAGTGGCTTCATCTCTCCAATAAAAAGATGTAGGCTGACAGAATGAATTAATAAAACAAGATCAAACTATATGCTGTTTGCAAGAGATGCACCTTAAAGGCAAAGACAGCTACAGGCTGAAAGTAAAAGAATGAAAATTGATATATAATGCAAAAGGAGCCTCCAAACAAGCAGGATTAGCTACTCTCATATCTGACAAAGATTTTATACCAAAATTAATCAGAAGAGACAAAGAGGGTCACTTCATATTGGTAAAGGGAACAATCAAGGAGGTATAACAGGGCTGAGGATATAGAGTTGGTAGAGTGCTTGCCTTGCATGCTTAGGCTCAGGGTTCAATCCCCAACACTACCAAAAAAAAAAAAAGAAGAAGATATAACAATAATGATTTTTTTTTTTGCCCAAAATGTGTGTATAACTTATTACATAAGATATACTACCCAAATTGAAGTCCTGGATAGACCCCAGTATATAATACTTTGCGATTTCAACACACTTCTCTCACCATTAGGTAGGTCATACAGACATAAACTTAGTAAAGACTCATTGGACCTGAAAAATATTATAAATCAAATAAACCTAACAGGCATTGATAGAATATTTCATCCAACAACAGCTGAATACACTTTCTTCTCAGAGGCTCATGGAAACTTCCCCAAAATAGACCTTAAGAGTTGCCACCAAACAACTCTTAGCAAATACAAAATATTGACATAATTCCTTCTCTCTCTCTCTCTGGTACTGGGAGTGAATCAGGTGTACTCAACCACTGAGTCATATCCCTAGCCCTATTTTGTATTTTATTTAGAGACAGAGTCTCACTGAGTTGCTTAGTACTTCGCCGTTGCTTAGGATGGCTCTGAACTGAAGATTCTCCTGTTTCAGCCTCCCAAGCTTCTTCTCTATTATTAGATCATAATGGAATGAAATTAGAAATCAACATAACCAAATCCTGCAGAAACTATAAAAACACATGAAGATTGAACAATACTCTTTTGAATAATTTAATGGATGATAGAAGAAATTGATGGACAAATTAAAAAATTCTTAAGACTCAAATGAGAATGGTGGTATAATATACCAGAACCTCTGGGGCATTGTAAAGGCAGTTCTAAGAGGAAAGTATATAGCTATGAGTGCCTACATAAGAAAATCAGAAAGATCCCCAATAAACAACCTAATGGGACACCTCAAGGCCCTTGAAAAAGAACAAATTAATTCCAAAACCAGGAGAAGGGAGGAAATAGTTAACATCAGTCCCCAAATCAATGTACTTGAGAATAAAAAACAATACAAAGGATTGATGAAATAAAGAGTTCATTGTTTGAAAAGGTAAATAAGATTTATAATCCCTTAGCCAAACTAACCAAAGGAAAAAAGGAGGAAAAACCAAATTAATAAAATTAGAGATGAAAAAGAAGAAATCACCATAGACATCTCGGAAACCCAGGAGATCATTAGGAACTATTTTGAAAACGTATATTCCAATAAATTGGAAAATGTAAAAGAAATGAAGACATTTTTGACACATACAATGTGCCAAAATTGAATCAAGAAGACACAGAAAACAAAGATCAATGACATGTAATGAGATAGAAGCAGTAATAAAAAGTCTTCTGACAAAAAAAAAAAAAAAAAAAAAAGCCTAGGACCAGTTGAATTCTACCTGACTTTCAAAGATGAGCTAATTAATATCACACTCGTTAAACTATTCCATGAAACAGAAAGAGATGGAATATTTACAAATTCATTCTACGAAGCCAATATCATGCTTATACCCCAAACCAGAGAAGGATACCTCAAGGAAAGAAAACTACAGACCAACATTCCTGCTGAACTTAGATGCAAAAATAATTAATAAGATATTAGCAAATTATGTTCAATTGAAAGGTTAATAATCATGAGAACTGTTTGCTAATCTTGTTCCAAGAATGTGCTGTCCCCAGCTGCCAAACTGCAGAATGTATTCCCTCACCCGGTTGCAGGCAAACCGCCCACTCGCCCTGACCCGTCAATGAACTTCCCTCCCTGCCCTCTCCAAGGAAAGTATATAAGCTCTGCTTAAGCTGTTCTCAGGGCTCTTTGCTCTATTCAAGTGAGCTCTGAGCCCCAGCATGCTGGACCCCAATAAACCCTTTGCTGTTGCATGAGACAGTCTCTTGGTGGTCTCTTCCTCCGACACACGCCTAACCTTTACAAATAACATATTAAGAAGATTGTATTCTATGACCAAGTTGGTTTTATTCCAGATATGCAAGGATGGTTTAATATATGCAAATTAATAAATATAAATTCATCACATTAACAGAATTAAGGACAAAAATCACTTAGTAATCTCAATAGATGCAGAGAATGCCTTCAATAAAATTCAGCACCCATTCATGATAAAAATATTGAAAAAACTAGAGATTAAAAGGAATCTACATTGAAAAACTCAAAGCAAGTCTCATAGCAATGGGTAAAACTGAAAGCATTACCTTTGAAATCTGGGACAAGACAAGGATGTCTACTCTTACCACTCCTATTTAATATAGTGTTAGAAATTCTAGCCAGAGCAATTAGGCAAGAGAAAGAAATAAAATGGATGAAATATAGGAAAGAAAGAAGTAAAATTATCACTGTTTGCAGTTGACATGATCCTATACCTAGAAGATTAAAAAAGAAAACTCCACCAAAAGAATTAATAAATTTGCCAGAGCTCATAAATTTGGCAAAGAAGCACATTACAAAATCAACATACAAAAATCAATAGCTTTCTTATTTAACCACAACAAATCTGCTGAGAAAGAAATCAGGAAAACAGTTCCATTCACAATAACCTCAAAAAGCAAAAGCAAAACCTAGGAATAATTCTAACCATAGAGGTGAAAAGGTGAGAAAACAAAAGAAACAAAAAAGAAATTCTATGATGAAAACTATAGAGCACTGAAGAAAGAAATTGGAGAAGACTTCAGAGGATGGAAAAACCTCTCATGTTCATGAATAGGCAGAATTAATATTATTGAACTGGCCATACTACCAAACACAATATATAGATTCAATGCAATCCCTATCAAAATATCAATGGCATTCTTCACAGAACTAGAGAAAACAGCAAAGATATCATCATCAGAGCAGAGGGTGAGAATCTTGGAGTTCACTTTGAGGAATCAAGTAAGCTGGAACACCTATTGAGGAAGGTTTGCCTCAAGGAGCCCAGGAAGCGAGTACTGTCCAGATTCAACTTTAAGTTCAACAATGGTATAGCGCTCTCTGTAGGCATTTATAACTTGGTCCAGAAGGCTGGCAAGTGCCGCGTCTGGCCAAGGGAGCCGAGTCCGGCGAGGGACGGCGAGGTTAAAAGACACACAGGACACCAAGGTTCTTCATCCAGGAGTCAATACCCTTTATTGCTAACACACCTTTTTTTATACCCCAAGCAGCAGAAGTGGAAAACTACCCAAAAGCAGGAGGGAGGGGGGAGAAATTTAGTTTCAACATCTATTATTGTCAGGTACCGAAACCTCCCTTAACAATAAGTCCATCAGACCAGAAAAAGTCAAGGCATTCCCGTGGGATACATATGTCTCAGACGGACAAGCAGGAACAGAAAAACCGCAAGTTCGCCATGGCCTTGTGAGCTGGCCACACTGGCATGCAGAACAAACTAGTGGAGGTAGGGCTCCAGGGGCCAAGGTGGACCTGCTGCCAACAAGTCCCCCTCTTTTGTTTTTTGCATGCCAGTGGGAATCAAGTAGCCCCTGTCTTAGGTCGTTCACAGCCCTTGCAATGCTTACCCGTCTCTGGGAAGGCCCCGATTCCCTGGCTTAGGTCGCACAGCAAGCGTTAAAGTTGCCTGTCACTGGGAACTACAAGATCAGCTCAAGGTGTTATGACCTATCAAGACATTATTGCGGTAAACGCTTAACCGTCTCCACCTACAGGACCCACGACCGTCACCACCGAATGGCAGATGTGATTGGACCGAGAGATTAGACAGCAAAGATCCTAGTACAGGAAGGCAAGAGGGAGAGGTATGCATAGAGAAAAGATATGGCAGGAGTTCTTCTTTTAAGGAGGACACTCATCTTCGGATCGGTCTGAAGTATATCTCAGAGAGGCGATCATCCATCTTCAAGCGTTGATAGTGAACCTGTATTGGCTTAGAGGCTAAGATATTAATTTGATCCTTAATGAATTGTACTATCTTATTTACAATGCAGGGTCCTATTGCCACTACTAGAAGGAGGCCTAACAATGGTCCCAATAAGGGAAGAAGATAAGGCAAAAATCCATTAAGTCCAGTCCAGAGAGGGTTCTCAAATAATTCCCTCCTCCTTTTTTCTAGGTCTTCTTGGAGTTGTTTAATTTTTGTGCGAACTATGCCAGATTTGTTAGCATAAAAACAGCACCTCTCCCCAAGGGCTAAACAAATTCCCCCTTGAATGGCAGTAAGCAAGTCTAAACCCCGCCTATTCTGAAGAACTACTTCTGCTAGAGAGTCTATCTGGTCTTGTAAGTCTTTAATGGTTCCCGACAGGGTTTGCACATCATCTATAAGCTGTTGAGATAGGCGGCGGTAAGAATGTATAGCCATACCCAATCCCGCCGTGCCTGTACCCACAGCAGCGGTTATTCCAAGGCCAACAAGGAGTGGTAAGGCCTGAACAGCTCTCTTGTGTCTTCTAACTAAGATGTCTAGGCTAGGAATGGGTAGGGGTTCATCTCCTGAGATAATCGTGATATCAGGAAGTAGTAATGCCAGAACGCAACCACCAGTCCAATTTTCTGGGAGCCTGGGAAAAGCTAAATTTCCACCACACATAAAGACTGTACCATTAGGGGGACAAATGGGCGCAGTAGGTGAGGAGTAATTCTTTACTAATGAGCAGTTCCCAAAGGAAGAGACTCCAACATCAACATCATAGGTATTATTTTGCATCATGCCCAGAAGGCATGACATAAAACCACCTAAAGGCTGCACCTTAAAGGGTAGCCCAGATTGACATGTGTTGTCATCATCAATGGTATAATTGATGGGAACCGCCAATGGCATGACTGCACCTGTCGTCATGCAGAGCCAGCAATCACCAGCAAGGGTAGGGTTAGAACTGTTAAGTAAAGAAAAGGTAGTTTCTAGGATATCTAATGTATTGGCATCTAAATCAGGAAGCTGGGATTTGGGCAATATCAAGGGGTGGTATGTAGGCTTAGGGATCTCCGGCTTTAAAAGCTTAATCACCTGAAGGTGTTTGATAGCATCAGTGGGTCCCCCTCCATCAGAGACTCCGATGGGGGCCTGCATGGGCCAGCAGGAAGGTTTACCCACGACGCCCTCACATCCCGCCTCCGTTAACCGAGTCATGATGCCTTCCCCTCCCCGGTCACCAAGAAAAGGAATATAATTATAAGTGGTCCCCCATTCTCCACGGGTGTTAGTTAGGATGGCCTCAAAATACTGTTTTCCTTGATTATTAACACAAATTGAGTCTGATGTATAACAAGATATGTGCATTGCCGGGGTGTAACGACAAGTGGCGGGACAGCTTCCAAGAGTCTCGGTTGGATTAGGGACAACAAGTCCGGGCTTATTAACACATACCCATTTTGGTTGCTTAAATCTTTCGATGTTTTCATTGAGTTCAGCCGCCATATAGGCTACTTTAGTCCCACAATCAATGCTCTGGATATAACCAGAGGGGGCCGAGTGCCGGGGCCCTCCCTTACACTCACAAGGGGCTCCAAAAAGATATTCATGAATATTCCCAGGTGGGGGGTCAAGCCCTCCTTCAGCAAACCTGTCCAGAAGGAATGCCACAAGCGGGGTCCAGCTCATGAGGTGTGTCTCGGCACTCACTTGAAGGGGTGAGAACAACAGCGGCAGGATCAGCCATCTTGGGAACTTCATTTTGTCTTGAATTTTCATTCACTGGTCTGGTGCAGCGCTCCGGGATCCAAATGGGCTTCTCAGTTCCTGGGGGAAAAACACATACAGCTCCCCTCACTCTAGCTAAGAGTGGAGCCGGGGGTTGCCACTTTCCGGTGGATAAATCTTTCCACCTTATTTGAGCATCTTGTACAGTGGGAGGGGAAAAGTGGCGTTGTGCAGCCATGCGCCCTCCAGTGTCAGTGAGTAAAAAATTTAAAGTAAATAAGGTTATGCTTAGAAGTGCTTGTGGTCCCTGACAATTCCGGTATATCTCCCCGCCTTTTGTTTTTGCAAATAAGTTTTTAAGTGTTGATGGGCTCGTTCCACTATAGCTTGTCCCTGTGGATTATAAGGGATTCCAGTCTTATGATTAATTTCCCATTGGGTGCAAAACCATTGAACCGCCTGGCTTACATATGCGGGACCATTATCGGTTTTGAGGCATCGTGGGGTGCCCATGGAGGAAAAGGCTTTTAGAAGATGACTGATTACGTCCTTAGCCTTCTCTCCAGTATGTAAGGTGGCAAAAATGAAGCCAGAATATGTGTCAGTGGAAACATGTATAAAGGAGAGCTTACCAAAGCTAGGGAAGTGTGTAACATCAGTTTGCCAGACATCATTAGGTTGTAGTCCTCTTGGATTAACCCCAAGGGAAGGAGAATGAATAAATGGTGCACAGGTTGGACATAATGAGACAATTTGTAAAGCCTGGTCTCGTGAACATCCTGTGTGGAAGCGTAAAGACTGTGCATTTAAATGAAATTTGTTATGGAATTGTAAGGCCTTATCATATTCGGTTGTCACACAGGAAAGGCCAACAGCATGAGTAGCAGCGTCTGCTTTTGCGTTGCCCTCTGACAAAGGTCCAGGGAGCCCTGAATGGCTTCGGATGTGGCCAATGTATAGAGGATCTCGTCTAGCCCAAATGAGAAGCTGTACTACCTGTAGTTGTTCTGTGATGGTGGATTGCTTTCCAATATATGATGCTGTTTCTATGACTAGAGCCAGATTGGCTACATACAAGCTGTCAGTATATACATTAAGAGGAATAGAACTATAGACTTTGAGAGCTATGATTAAAGCTTCAACTTCCGCCTTTTGGGCCGACTGACCTGACACAGGTTGTCGGAGAATTTGAGATCCATCAAAAACGACGGCAAATCCATTTTTGGCCCCATCTGTATATACAGTTTGGGCCTTTGGAATAGGTTCCCTTTTCATAATCTTTGGGAAGATAATGGGACACCTTTTAAAGCTCTCCAAAAGTCTATGTTTAGGGAAGTGATTATCAATCTGACCCTTGAAGCTGCACAGGAAAAGACACCAAAGGTCATGTTCTTGTTGTAACTTGTGTATCATATCTTGAGTGTAAGGTTGAATAAGTATGTCAAAGGTTTTTCCAAACAATGCATCACCCAAATATTTAGCCTTCCAAATTAAGTTAATAACTAGCTCATAAAAGGGAGTCAATACCCGGGGGTTAGAAGCCGGCAAGTGGACCCAATAAATGGGACCCGTTTGCCAGAACACTCCTGTGGGAGTAATTTTAGAAGGTAGAACTATAAATGACAAGGGCAGAGAATAATCTATCTGTGTAATCTGCATGTCCTGCAGAGCCTCTTCTATTAGCCTCAGTGCTCGTAAGGCTTCTGGTGTAGGTACTCTACACGACGTAGGAGAAGGATCTCCTCGCAAGAGGTCATACAGGGGTTTGAGCTCTCCAGTTGGAATATGAAAGGACGGGCGCAGCCACTGTATTTCTCCGAGGAATGTCTGCCACTGATGTAAAGTTTTGAGCTGATTTATCTGGAACTGGGGTCTCTGGGGAAAGATTCCTATGATATTAATGATGTATCCCAAGTAATTGTAAGGGTGTTGAAACTGCACCTTTTCGGGTGCTATGACCAGCCCTGCCCCTTTTAGAAGGGATTGGAGGACTTCATAAGATTGAAGAAGCCTTTTTTTCTTGGGCCCTGCCAGTAAGATGTCATCCATATAATGAATGAGGTAGAGCTGTGGGAACTGCTGTCGAAAGGGTCGCAAAACCTCAGCTACAAAATATTGGCACATTGTAGGACTATTAGTCATCCCTTGAGGTAGGACGGTCCATTCATACCGTTGGTAAGGTTCCCTAAAGTTTGTGGAAGGCAAGGAGAAAGCGAAACGCTTTCGGTCTCGTGGGTCTAAGGGGATAGAGAAGAAACAATCTTTTAAATCTATGACAATAAGATGCCAATCCTTTGGGATCGCAGTAGGAAAGGGTAGCCCTGGCTGTAAGGGTCCCATGGGTTGCATAGTTTTATTAATAGCCCGTAGGTCCTGAAGAAGACTCCACTTCCCAGACCCCTTTTGTATAACAAAAATAGGGGTATTCCAAGGGGAGGTAGAGGGCACCACGTGTCCTAACTTAAGCTGGTCTTGAACTAATAGGGAAGCGGCCTGTAATTTGTCCTTAGTTAGGGGCCACTGTTCTACCCACACAGGGTCATCTGATAACCAAGTAATGGACAGTGGAGGTGGCCGCACTTCAGTGGCCCCTAGGATAAATTTCCCAGTCCTCTCCGGTCTCTTCCCCGCCGGGTAACCTGTTCCGCTGGATCCACAGGTGATATTCTGCCCCCATGTCTCTTTCCTAGTCCCCTTCCAGGGATCCATCCCATGTCTAGCATTGAATCATTAACAAAGTTATTATTTTCTTTTAAAGTCTGGGTAGTGAGAATAGCCCCCATTTGATGAAGCAAGTCCCTCCCCCAAAGATTCGTGGGGAGTCCAGTCACCACATAAGGCTGGAAATGGCCACTATGTCCTTCGCCATCTCTCCATTTTAAAAAGGAAGCACTTCTTTTTGGTCGGGTCTGTCCTATCCCCTGTAATATGGCCGAGGGACTCTGGAGGGGCCAGGCAGGTGGCCATTGTTTTTCAGAAATGACAGAGATATCCGCCCCCGTATCTAGTATTCCCTTGAAAGCCTTGTCCTGTATCTCAATGGTCAGGTTGGGACGCGAATCCAAATGAGCTACCCAAAAGGCCTGGGGAGTTCCAGTGGAGCCAAAGCTGCCGTCGCCCCGGAACCCACGGAGGGCGTGCCCAGGAATGGAAGCTAAGGGTAGCAGCAGCAATTGAGCTATACGCTCCCCAGGGGGAAGAATAACAATTCCTTGGGTAGCTTCTACTACTATTTTTATTTCTCCCTGATAATCAGCATCAACAACCCCCGTAAGAATCTTCAAGCCCCACTGAGTTGCGCTACCTCGTCCCAACACTAGTCCCACCGTCCCCTCTGGCAGGGGTCCAAAAACCCCAGTAGGCAGCGTCCGGGGTCCCATTTGGGGAGTTAATACCGCTCGGGAGGTGGAACTGAGGTCCAGTCCTGCGCTTCCTGGTGTTCCCCTGGGGAGTTCCCAGATAGAAAGGGGTTGGTCAGTGGGAGGCGGCGGAGATGCCCACTCCCTGGGGCACTGTTCTGTCCCTGCACTGCCCCGTACACTTTGGCTTCCGGGGCCCGGTATTGGGTTACCCTGGATGTCAAATTTTGACCTGCACTCACTACTCCAATGATTTCCTTTATGACATCGAGGACAAATTCCAGGCATCCCTCTGCCAGCACCCTCGCTCCTTTCCGGGCAGTTTCTCCTTATATGTCCCTCTTTCCCACACTTAAAACACCCCTTAGAGCGGGTTCCCCTGTTATCAGATTTTTGCATTCCAGTCTTAAGGGCAGCAGCCAAAACCTGACCAGTAATATGAGGCCCATCTATATCTTTGCATGCTCGAATCATGTCATCTATACTTTTGGCCCGGGAGGACTTAATAGCATTTTGGCAGTAAGTGTTAGCGTTTTCATATGCCAGTTGTCTAATAAGTGGCATAGCCTGTTCCAGATTAGGGAATATTTTTCTAGCCGCCTGCATTAGGTGGGCTATAAAGTCCGAATAAGGTTCAGAGGGCCCTTGAGAGATCTTGGAAATTTTTGCTTCAGTCTTAGAAACGGGCAGGGCTTTCCAGGCATGGACTGCAGCTGAGGCTATTTGAGCATAAACACCTGGGTAGTAATTAATTTGTTGGCCTATGGTGGCATACTGCCCAGTTCCTGTCAACATTTCAGCATTTCACCGTTGATGGCCCGCATTCAGGTTAATCTGAGCCAGCTCGCGGCACCTTTCATGATATTCACTTTTCCACAATAAGAAATCCCCTCCAGATAACACAGCCCTGCAAAGTTGCTGCCAATCATTAGGTATTAGTTGACTGGCTGAGAAGGACTCGAAGAGGGTCAATGTGAAAGGGGCATGAGGTCCATAATTAATGACCGCCTCCTTAAGCTGTTTTATGTCCTTGAAGGCTAGGGGGACATGGGCTCTGGCCAGCTGTCCATCAGCATCGGTGTTTTCAATCATTGGAAAAACCTGAGCCGCTCTAGAACCCCAGTGGACCCCCGCCCGTCTAGTAGGGGCATCCTCATTCCAATCAGGATTATAGGGAGGAGGTGCGGCAATTGAGGGGGCCCTAGGCACCCTCACATTTGCCCTTTTAAGGCGATGTTCTAATTCCTCTATCTCCCTTTCTAATCCCTCCTCTTCCTCAGAGAGAGAACTGAGGTCCTCAGGATCATTTTTGGGCTTAGAAATCTGGAGGCGTTTCCTACCCCCCCGAGCCCGAGTCCTCAAGAGGACCCTCATCCTTTAAGGATTCTGCCATTTGCTCCTCCTGCACCTGATTAAGGGCCTGTTCACATTCAGCAAGCTGATCCTTGATCTTTACTTTATCTGTTAATAAAGCATCCTTTACCATCCTCCATAAGGAAAAGGTGGCAACTGGGACACTGTCCGAGCCCCGGTCCCTCAATAATTTCTGAAGGTCATGCCTCACCAGGTCCCAGTCACTATTATTAAGAAATCCTCCTGTCAGAAACCAAGGACAAGCCTGGGCAATAATTTCAACGAATTCGGTTGCAGTCTTAGTTTTTATTCCTGTTCCTTGTGTATTTAACAGCTCTTTCAGTTCGTTGGCCAGACGAACCTTCGCTGTTGAGTTACCCATGGTACGTACCCTGTCTCTTTAAAATATCTTTAAACCAATCCTCCCCCTTCCTTCTTAGAAGGTGAGCCCCGTCCGCTTACCCCTGCTTTCCGGATCTCGGTGGGAACCTCCAATTTCCGCGTCCGGCCAAGGGAGCCGAGTCCGGCGAGGGATGGCGAGGTTAAAAGACACACAGGACACCAAGGTTCTTCATCCAGGAGTCAATACCCTTTATTGCTAACACACCTTTTTTTATACCCCAAGCAGCAGAAGTGGAAAACTACCCAAAAGCAGGAGGGAGGGGGGAGAAATTTAGTTTCAACATCTATTATTGTCAGGTACCGAAACCTCCCTTAACAATAAGTCCATCAGACCAGAAAAGGTCAAGGCATTCCCGTGGGATACATATGTCTCAGACGGACAAGCAGGAACAGAAAAACCGCAAGTTCGCCATGGCCTTGTGAGCTGGCCACACTGGCATGCAGAACAAACTAGTGGAGGTAGGGCTCCAGGGGCCAAGGTGGACCTGCTGCCAACAGGCAAGACTTTTCCAATGACCTCCAGGGAAACAAATGAACCAGAAAAACTAAGACTCAACATTTGATGTAAATACAGGCAAAAGATACTTCAGATCTATGGGAGTTTTCAGATTATACTAGAGAAAGAGGAAATGGAGGAGCTGAAGCAGTTTGATGAACCAGGTTTTATTTTCCTTGACTTTAAGCCCTTGCTCATGCTGAAGAAGCACCATTAACCTGAGGGTTCCTTTACCCTGAGAGACCATGGTAAACGGGAGCTCAACCCTGTTTAGTGCTCTACTCACCAAGTGTCTGGAGAAAGCAGTCAAAGCAGTATGCAGATACTCATTCCACAAGAACATCCTTCTTTATTTTGTGGCTTTGGTGCCACAGGAAGAAGAGCTGGATAACCAGAAAATTCCGGTGACCCCTCCAAGCTTCCTACCCCTATGCTGGGATAAATGGAAACTGCCTCTTACTAAAAAAGTCATGGCCAACCCTGAACAGATAGCCAAAATGAAAGCTATTGTTAAAAAGCTGTGCTTCAAATACAGAAGTCATAGCTTTGAGAATCCAGTGCTGCAGTACCACTTTAGAAATCTGGAGGCCTTAGCTTTGGATCTGATGGAGCCTAAACAAGCAATAGATCTGACATTGCCCAAGGTTGAAGCAATGAATAAAAGACTGGGCTCTCTGGTAGATAAGTTTAAAGGAACTTGTCTACCCCACCAAATTACAATCCTGAGGGCAAAGTTAGTAAGTGAAACCAAGATGATGGAGGTTCTGGAAGCAAAAGGCTCAAAGTAGAGGTATATGAAGAGGAAATGAATGGTCATGCTGTGGAACTCACTGTGCCCATGAGAAAGAGGCCTACAGGTGTACAGGCTGAAGGGGGGGGGGTGAAGAAGCGGGAGTTGCTGGCCACTCTCACTAAGCATTTTCAGAAGGACTGACTGGTGACCACACATCCTTGCTGTGGCCAGTTGCCTGATTTTTATTCTCAACAAAACGTGTTTTTCCTGAGATGGGAAGAGCTTCTTTCAGAAGCTGAAGGACTTTACATTTGAAACTTGTTGGCACAGAGACTGCACAGCTCTCCCACTTGGCCTATGCCTTACTCTATGTGAATAAAGAATCCCAACTTTGTACTAAAATATAAAAAAAAAGTTCAAAAAATAAAAAAAGTTCAAAATGCCTGTGCCTTACTCTATGTGAATAAAGAACTCCAACTTTGTACTAAAAAATTAAAAACAGGAGATCAGTAGAGGAAAGGGATCAGGGCTGGGAGGAAGGGAGGGAGGGAAGAAGTGTTGGGGAGTGGTATTGGCCAAATTATATTGTTATATTGTGTGCATGCATGAATATGTAACAAGTCCCATCAATCTGTACAACTCTAATGCGCCAATAAAAAATGTGGAAAAAAATATAGTAGTAATTTTCTGAAGAGTTAGTAAATAAGAATTCATATGGCCTGTACCAAAATTGATCTGTTGATTTGAATGAGACTGATAATAAAAGTTTTTAAGAGACTGAAGATATAAATTAAGTATATCTTTAATAAATAGGTACAAGTTAAAATAAAGCCTGCTATTATTCTATTATTAACAGTCATGGTAGCACTATTGTCAAGGCATAAGAAGGAATATACATTCTTCATAGAGTAAATACTTCATTTCTAAAAGACCTAAACTGACAGTATTGAAAAGTTTAAGTCTCCATCTTTTTTATCTTTCATTCATAATTAACATTCTTAAATTAGACTCCAGCTAGTCATTATGTTCCTAATACAAATAGGCAATAAAAAAGAATTCATGATTGATTACATTGAACTTAACAGGGTTACTTAGAGTGAAAATTTGTTTTTGTTTTATTTTGTTTTTCTTCATCTGTTTATTTCTCCCCAGTGAAGTCAGTAGATTAATGGCACTGGAAGCCCAGGGATGAAGCCTTGAAGAATTTAAGATAAGTTAAATAGTAAGTTCCTTTATATCTTTTTAAAAATATTCTTTTGGTTGTTAATGGATCTTTATTTATTTATGTATATGTGGTGCTGAGAATTGAACCCTGTGCTTCACACTAGCTAGGCAAGCGCTCTACCACTGAGCTATGCCCCTAGCCCAAGATCCTTTATATCTTTAAACTTCTATAATTTTTTCATTTGTATAGGGGTTTATTTTATCATTTCTAATAGTTATCATAACATGAAACTAAAAAACTTAGCACCTTCAGAACATTTTTTATCCTAAAAATGTGTTATCTTCGTAATTTTAAATATTTTAAAGAGCAGTTAAAAGTTAGCTTAATGATGAGGAAGGCTTTTTAGATAATAAATTATTCTCTGCAAAGATATAATACTGGTTACCTATTATGCATTTGTCAAAATTCACTGAACTGTACAACACAAAGCATGAACCTTATTGTAAACTATAGAGTATAGTTAATAATAACATATCAGTATATCATATATAAGATATATAGGAGAAACTGTGGGGGTGAGGAGAGGAGGTGGCAGTGAGATGGAACTCTATCTCCCATCTGCCCAATTAGTCTGTAAATCTAAAACTGTAATAAAAAGTAAAGTTTGTCAATTCCTTAAATGTTTTTTAAAAGGCATCAAATATTAATCTAATGGTTTTAAGGAATTCATTATGTGCAAAAGGGCAAGGAGGAAGCTGAAATGATTTAAGTAGTTAACCTTATAATATTTTGATTCATGGTGTGTTTCTTTTTTATTTTTTTAAAGAGACAGAGAGAGAGAGAGAGAGAGAGAGAGAGAGAGAGAATTTTAATATTTATTTTTTAGTGTTTCGGCAGACACAACATCTTTGTTTGTATGTGGTGCTGAGGATCGAACCCGGGCCACATGCATGTCAGGTGAGCGCGCTACCGCTTGAGCCACATCCCCAGCCCCCCATGGTATGTTTCTTAAGTATTAGACAATAGCTGGGGACACTGTATTTAAGATATGAGAACAAAATAAAACAGGAGCACATCAGAATGATTTGACTTGATCAATAATTATTTAAGGGAAATTGCTAAGTTGGATGAATTGATTTTATCTTGCTCCTATCCCCCGTTTTAAAATAAATCATAGGCTTTTCTATTAAACCTGTATTTCTGCATAGTAGTCAAAGGAATATTCCCCACTGAGTGGCACATTTTTATGTCCCTCTGCATCTAACAATTCTGTCTCCCCTCTCTATTTCTGATAGCTTCTCTCTCTTTCTCTCCCTTTGTTATCCTCCTTTCTTTCCTTTTTTTTTTTTTTTAAATCTTGGTCTTTCTTTCTCTGTAACACATTAGACTTTCCAGTACTCCTTCTGGTCATTGTTTTGTTTCAGTGAAATAATTCAGTGGTTACCATCAAGAAATAATAGGTCAGTGTTCTGGGTGAAATTTGTATCTATTTTAGTTACTCTGTGCCTCCAATAGGAAGTAGGGTGGGTGATAACAGCAATTCTCACTTGAGACACATACATATACAGTCATGTTCTGTTGTTTGTTTATATATATATATATATATATATATTTATCTATCTATACCTATATATTAGCTCCTAGTCATATAGGAAAGATTCCTGAAAAAGACTCCTTTGAGTTTGAGGGTTCTTTTTATGGCCTTAAAGGGAAATCCTTATTTTGACTCTGAGCCTATAGGAGAGAGAGTATCCTGGCTCAACCCCACTTTGTACATAGTACTGGCTCCTCAATCAGGCATTGAATGTTCTCCCAAACTTGGGCACGCATTAGAATCACTTGGAGATCAATTAAAACACAGAATGCTATGTCCCTTCCTCAGATTTTATGATTGAATAAGATAGGCCTGAGAATTTAAATCTCTTAACAAGTTCCTAGACACTCCTGTTATTGCTGTCGCTGGTCTAGCAGCCACACTTCGAGAACACTGGCATGAGAACACTAGATATTAAATGATGTTTCACCCGAGCAGATAATCAGGATCCAACACATTGGATGTCTTGACACTTGGACCTAGAGGCTCTAGAGTTAGGGGAAATGTGTTAAGGATACAACATAAACATTACTCTGATTTCAAGGTCTGTGGCTCTCCTAAGGATCATTCATGTTCCTTTGCTTCCCTTGACCCCCTACAACTTTGCTAGGAAAGATTAAAAAGAAAACCAGTTTTGAGTAATTAATCCTTAATCAATTAAGATATTTTAAGGTAGCTATTTTTTGACAGAATAGCTTACTTTCTTTAATCTACATGAATGTAAATGAATTATTAGTGACAATAGTGATCATCTAATATATCCCAGCTCCTTTATATACTTCTGTCACTCTACTTTTTATAACCCTACTATTTCCATACCACCACACTCCTTTTTAAGGAATCCTCCAGAATACACTTAGATTTAACTTTAAGCTTACATTCTATCATTTGTTTAAGCAGTAGATATTCCCAGTGATTAAAATTATATAGTAATTAGAAACACAAAAGGATCTAGATACCTCAAAGGAGAATGTCTAAAGTCTATCCAGGACAAACGACTTAATGTTCATTTCTGAGATATTTCCAGGGACAGATTCCATAACCTATAGAGACCAGCCCTGTTATTTGTTTTTTTAGTACTAGGGATTTAATTTAGGGCCTTGCACATCGTAGTCAAGTACTCTACCACTAAGCTACGGGATCCAGTCCTTTAAAATTTTTATTTATTTATTTAAATCTTGAGACAAAGTCTTGCTAAATTGCAGGTGGCCTGGAATTTTTAATCCTCCTACCTTAGTCTCACAAGTAGCTGGGATTACGGTTTGTGACACCTTGCCTGGTTCAGGTCTGTTGTTTATTGGTATCAAACCCATGATATGTACTTATTTTTATTTTATTTATTTTTTGTGGTACTAGGGACTGAAACAAGGGGTGCTTTACCACTGACCTAATCTCTAAATTTTTATTTTTATTTTGAGACAGAGTCTTGCTAAATTGCCAAGACTGGCCTTGAACTTGTGATCTTCCTGCTTCAGCCTCTTGAGTAGTTGGGCTTATAGGTGTGTACCACTGTGCCTGGCTTTGTTTTTGTTATTTTTAACTGACCGCGTGTCTGCTGTTACTTTACTCCATAATAATTTTTGTTCCTTTGTGTTTAAACTAATTTTTATTTTAAATCTACTTTTTAAATTTAGCCCTCTGGTAGACTTTATCATATATTAGAATAACGACATTTTCACTTACTAAATTAACATTCTCCTATCACCTCAATTTTTTTGCTGCATTAAAAATAATTAATGAGTTTTGTGCCCTTTAATTTCTTCCCTAGGTTCAGTTTATTGGGTAGTATAATAGAAAAATTATTTTAGAGGTACTGCATAATGTAGAACCATTTTTTTGTACTCTATTCAATGTGAGTCAAATCTACATTAGTTTTTTTGCTAAGTCTAATCTAGAATTTGAACCAACCAACCTTCCTTCCCTCCTGCCTTCCTTCTTAACCTACCTACCTTCTTTCCTTTCTTCTTCCCTTCCTCTCTCTCTCTCCTTCCTCTATTCATAATATATATATATATATATACACATTCATATGTGTATATATAATATATATATTTATATATATATAGAATTTATATATATACACACATATATAGAATTTATATATATACATATATAGAATTTATACATATATATATAATTTATATATACATATATAGAGAGAATTTATATATAGAGAGAATTTTTATATACATATATAGAATTTACATATATAGAACTTTTATATATAGAATTTATATATATAAATTTAAATCAAATATATATAAATTTAAAGCAATTACCATGAGCCTGACATGTGTTTTAATTCCTAAGGTAGTTCTATATGGTTGACATTCCCATTTTACAAATGAGAAATCTAAAACCTAAAGAAGTTAAATAACTTGCTAAGATCACAGAGTTAGTAAGAGAGGAGTCAAGATTTGAACATAGAGATCTAACTGCAAAGCTCATCCTTTAGTTGCTGTGTTAAATTTCTCCTAATTAAGGCATCAATCTTCTTTTTAAACTGTATATGTAATCAATTACATAATAAAACTTTAATAGAAACATCTATCAATAGCTACAATAAATATCAATTCCTCAATCATCAGCTATGCTCAAACTGTGGTTTCTTCCCATCCCATAGTAGAAATAAATATCATTGTATATACATTTTTGGAATTTTATTTTTCCAGCTTATAAGTCCTATTAATTATGTAGCCCTTTTTCATTGAAATTCTATTGCTTTTCCTAATGAGAATCTGCTGTTTCACTAAATCCTGGTTAGCCATTCTTCCACTATTGGTCATTTGGATGACTTACAGGCTTAAACTATAAAACACTATGTTCAGGACTGGGGTTGTGGCTCAGTGGTAGAGCACTTGCCTAGCACTGCATAAAGGTGAATAAATAAAATAAGGGTATTGTGCCCATCTACAACTAAAAAAAGTTTTTTTAAAAACCACTATGTTCAAATAAGTTACTTTCTCCTTTGACTTATTTCTTTAACATGTATTTCTGTAAGTCAAGGGTATAACCATTTGTAGCATTGAGTTTCCAAGTCACTCTGTAGAAAGCCCTCCACTATTTACGGTGACATCATAAATGTTATGGACAGCTAGTAAAATGCCAACTGGTAACTGCTTTACTTGTATTGTATTTCTTTACTATTAATGAAGTTGATGACTCTTCAAGAATTTGTCTTCTGGTATTTTCTTTCTTTCTTTTTTTAAATTTTTATTTTGGTTATAGATGGACACATTATTTATTTATTTATTATTTATTTATTTATTTTTATTTATACCATTATTTATTTATTTTTATATGATGCTGAGGATTGAACCCAGTGCCTCACACATGCCGGGCAAGCGCTTTACTACTAAGCCACAACCCCAGCCCCTCCTTTTTTTTTTTTTTTTGGTACTAGGGATTGAACTCAAGGGCACTTGGCCAGTAAGCCACATCCCCCGCCCTATTTTGTGTTTTATTTAGAGACAGGGTCTCACTGAGCTGTTAAGCACCTTGCTTGCTGAGGCTGGCTTTGAACTCAAGATTCTCCTGTCTCAGTCTCCCAAGTTGCTGGGATTACAGGTGTGCGCCATTGTACCCAGCCTGGTGTATTTTCTATTCCTGTTCTTAAACCATTTGTTAATTGGATAGTTTACAAATTCCTATCAAGCATTTAAGTATAAAGATAATCAATTCTTTTTCCATTCTGTTGTTATGCATTTATTTAAAATTGTTTATTTGGCTGATACTTATACTTGTTATGCAGCTTGGAACTCAATTCCCCCAGAGCTCCCATTTCCTCAGCTTTCTGCTCAAAAGTCCCTTCCTCAGAGAGCATGCCCATGACTACCTGTGTAAAATATCCCTCTGCTTTTCTCAAATCACTCTTTTTTCTAAGTTTTTAATCACAGTGCATTCCAGTTGGCATATATATCTTATTTGTTTATGATCTCCCTAGTAGAATAAAACATTTCAGGAGACAGGGGCATGATTATTTTTATAGTCTATCTCCAGTGCCTAGCACATAGGAGGAATTTAATAAATATGGGGAATGACTCCAACTTGGCCATTGAAAATTATTTTTATTGCTTCTGTGGACAAGAAATGAACTTTCCTCTGTAACAAAGGCAATGATAATATTGCATTTTTTCCAGCTTATTTTAATTATTTATTTACTCTTTTCTCATCTGAAATTTTTTGGTTGTACAGTGTAAATCTTTGGCTAACATTTTTCTTTTTGTATATTGTCTGATCTCATCGATTCAAATCTATTTTTGTATCCTTATTTCTATATTCTAAACTTTGTACTGGTAATTATTTTTAATAGGGTGCCGGGGATTGAACCCAGAGCTTTGAGCATTCTAACCATGTGCTGTATCCACTGAGCTGCACCTCTGGCCCCTGTCTTAGAATTCTGACAGCCTTAATTATGACATGCCTTAAGATGTTATGGGACCCAGTGCCCTGAAAACATTTTCTTTTCTTTTTAGTTTTTGGTTCTGGGGATTTAACTCAGAAGGGCTTTTACCACTGAGTCACATCCCTAGCCCTTTTTACTTTTTATTTTGAGACAACTTGTCTTCCTAAGTTGCTTAGGTCCAGGCTAAATTGCTGAGGCTGGCTTTGAATTTGAGATGCTCCTGAGTCACTGAGCGTACAGGTATGTGCCACTGTACTTGGCTCCTGAAGACACTTTCCATCCCAACTGTTTCTTTGAGACTCATACCCCTATCTTTTCCATATATTTTTAATTATTTTGTTTTGGTACTGGAGTTTTATCTCAGGGGTGCTTAACCACTTATATATAAGGCTATATCCCTAGCCTTTTTTATTTTTTTGTTTTTTTCTTTTTTGAGACAAGGTCTCACTAAGTTGCTAGGTCTCACTGAATGGCTGAGTCTGGACTTGAACTTGAGATCCTCCTCTCTTTGCCTCCTGAGTTGCTAGGATTATAGGCAAGTACCACCATGCCCAGTTTTTTAATAATTTTAAAATTTCCTTGAAATATCCTATTGAGATGTTCATTGGTTTTATATTAAATACATAAATCAGTTGAGGATATCTTCTCAACTTTGCTGTTTTATTAAACTTACTGACCCATAAGGAAAGCCTCTTTTCTTTTTTCAAGTTGTACTTTATTTCTACCATGTAAGTCTTATGTTTTTAAAATCAGTTATCTTATTACCACACTTGATTTTTGTTGCTGTTGCTATTAAAAAATGCATTCTTTTTTCAGTATTCTTTATGTTTATTAATTTAAAAAAAATTGAGAGGCAGGTGTAATGATGTACACCCTACTATCAACTACTCAGGAAGCGGAGGCAGGAGGATTGCAAATTCAACGTCAGCCTGGGCAACTGAGTGAGACCCTGTTTCAAAATAAAAAACAAAAAGAACTAGAGATGTAGCTCAGTGGTAGAGTGCCCCTAGGTTTGGTTTTTAATCCTGCAAAACACAAATAAACAAAATATATATAAATTTGTTACATGTGTTTAAACTATCATAACTTTTCTATTCTTTTGTATTTATATGATTAATATTAATAATTTCCTTAATTTTACAATAAGCTTGTTGTGTTTTGCCTGTTGAGATTCTAAGAATTTAGTATTTATTGTAGACTAAACTAGAATTTTCTTTTTTTGGGTTGTCTTTGCCTGGCTTTATAATCCAAATAGATTATTTGCTTCATGAAATTGTGAAAACAAAACAGAATATTTTTTCTATATTTCTATATTAAAACAAAACAGTACATAAAATAGAAACAAGTCTTAGAGAAAAAAAACTGTTCTGGAAAAGTCAAAACTGTCTTACTTAAATGACAGCTTTTTGATAATTTTTTTCTATTTCTTCAGTTTTCAATTTCTGGTTGCATTAATTTTGCTTTTTTCTTTTACATTTTTAACCTTATTTAGCATTTTCAAGTTATTGAAACAAAACTGTATTTGACCTTTCTCAATAATGTTTTACCATTCTTCTTGATATAACATCTTTTACATTTTTCAATTTTACTTTAAAAACAAAATAGCCAACCCAATGATTTGCCAGTTTTATCCAGTTTTGTTTTGTTGCTCTTTTTGAAGAATCAACCAATCTTTTTAGCACTTCAAATTATTTTAAAATTTTCTGGTTAATTAATTTTTAATGTCAATTTTTTCTGTTTTCCCCTGTTTATATATGTGTGTGTGTGTGTGTGTGTGTGTGTATATTTTTTTTTACATTCCTCATTTTATTCTTACTAATAGGGGTCTTGCTTTGTGGCCCAGGCTAATTTTGTTTTGTTTGTTTGTTTGCATTCAAGTTTGCAATAAAGCTATTGAAATTATGAAAATAGTTTTTTGAATTTTCATTAGTGCAAATGTCACTCATTAGATAAATATAAGAAATATATAGAGGCTATGTAGAGAAGAAGATATAGAGAAGTATAAAGATATAAGAAAACATACCCACACAAGCCCTCCAGAACTCAACGTCCTGGCTTCAAAATGTGAACACTGTGATTCTCTTATATTTTGTAAACACAAAATGGACAATAGGCCAATAGCCATAATACTAACTGAATGGTGTAAGAAGCTGGTTTAAAAATAAAAATTATCCAAGGTTGAATCAAGGTTGTGGGTAGTTAAGAGTTGACTATATCATTGGGCAATTACACTGTATCTGTCTCTGAGAATCTTCAGAGACAAATGGCTCAATTATAAGGACTTTAAAGCACACACCTATTTACATTGCTTTACATCTTAGAAACCCCCACAGCATTTTCTTGCCACATACCTGGAGTCTACTGCCTTGAGAGCTGTGTTTTTTAAATCAGTTGTCTTTTCTTCAGAGGTTTTGTCACTCATTTCTTTTGATATGTTTGCCTCACTTCTTGCTGCACTCAAAGTAGTATGAAAACACCTTTCACCTTGGAAAGTAAGTGTTATGTCTGAGATGGTGACACGTTTTGAGGATTCTTTGAATTCACTCTTACTTTTTGTATCTCGTAGACATCCAGGCTTCATAGTGCTTTCCACTTTTTCCTTTGAAAATGACAAAGCAATAGCAAGTCAGGTAATAGAAGAGTGTGATATAGAAATAGATTATTTATGGAGCAGTATCTAGTACAGTAATCATTTCATTCACATTTACTGAGTGTGCACAGGTGTTGGAGGCAGGCAGTGTGGGAACTATGGCCTGCCCCACTGCAGCCTCATTTTGTGATGTGCACCAGTGTCACCTCACATAAAACAAGTAGCACTTATAATTACAGCATTTCTTGTCTGCGAATTGTGGGGGCAAGGAATGTTTTCTGAAAATGTTAGTCTCCTAGTCTATGAGCAACAAAGATATGATAGAGGCTTGGAGTTCATAATAATACTAGTCTTTGTTTTTCAAAAGATTAAAAGCCTGTACCTAAAATCTAATACCCTAAAATCTCTCCCCATTCTTCTAATTTCCTGGAATCTGTTACTGTGCCACTTCTTAGTCACTTACTGATCACAGCAGAATCTCTCATTCAGGCTGGTGAACCCCAAAGTTTGTGTTAACATTCCTCACATCTGTACCGTCTTCCTCCCATTGCCCCTACCTGGTCCATTACCTCTATTATATTTCCTTAAAAATAATGTAGTAATCTGGATCTGGGGTTGTGGCTCAGTGGTAGAGTGCTCAGCACTACCTAAAAAAATTAATAAATAAAAATAAAGGTATTAAAAATAGTGTGATAATCTTATTTTAAAAGATAACACTTTCCTTTTTTCCCTGAAAATTAAAGCTATTTATATTATAGAATACTTGGAAAATCCTCTAAGGAATAAAGTGAAAGGTAGAAATTATTCCTTGCATGAAGCCACTGTCCAAAAAAAGCCATTCCTCTGGCACAGTTAATTCCCATCTCTTTGTTAATTTATTTATTTTTATTATATCTGCTTTGACATTGTTTTGAAGTTGCTGCCTACATTTTTTCACCTAACATTTCATTACTATAAGCATTTTCCTCCTGTCATTAATAATTGTGTAAAAACACTTGATTTTTTTCATAATTAAAAATAATTTATCTTTATTATAGGAAACAGAGAATCCAAAACAGTATAAACAAGACATAAGTGGCCCATAGTCCTACAATCTAAAGATTAACTGCTATTCACAATATATATATATATATATATATATATATATATATATATATATATATATATATATATATATATATATTTCTTTGTATGTGTGTGTGTAAATGTATTTTTACATCCCAGAGAACATATTATTCATTTTTCACTCAAATTTATATCATATACACTTTTCCAGGTTAAGAAACATACTTAAATAATTTTAATAACTACAAAATAGTAATTCATTTAACAAAGTTTTACTCAGTGCCTATGATATTATCAGGCACTATGGTAGCTCCTGAATAAGATAAATATGACATCTGCTCTTCATAAAATTTGTTTAGCTATTCCTAGTAGATATTTAGGTTACTTCCGTGCTTTCATTATTATAAGCATGGGAAGTATAAGATATGATTAATGTGTGTGTGTGCGTGTGCGTGCGCAACCAGAACCTTGTGAGTGCTAAGTATGTTCTACCACTGAGATGCACTCACAGCCTATAACTAACATCTTTGTAATTAAATCTTCATTTCTGTCAAAGGGTACAAATATTTTTAAGGTTCTTGACTCAGAATTATTTCAAGAAAACTGACCCAATTCTCATTTATACTATAAATCTCTACAAATTCCCAGTTGACTACACTTTTGCTAATATTGATAGTGTTTATTCTTTTAATTTTTAACTTTTTTGCAGTGCAGATTGAACCCAGGGCCTTGAACATGTCAGGCACTCTATCTTAAGTACACGTACAGCTTTTTTTTTGAGATGGGATCTCACTAAGTTGCCCAGACTGGTCTCAAACTTGAGATCCTCTGCCTGCCTCTGCCTCCAAAACAGCTGGAATTACAAGCATGTGTCCCTGAGTCCAGTTCTGTGTCTGTTCTTTTTTTTATTTTTTATTTTTTTAGTTGTTGATAGACCTTTATTTATTTATATGTGGTGCTGAGAATCTAACCCAGTGCCTCACACATGCAAGGCAAGTGTGCTACCGCTGAGCCACAGGTCTCAGCCCCTGTGTCTGTTCTTTTAATTAACAATTACATGGGTTAAATATTTTTTGTAGGAGCTCTGTGCATGGAGAAATAGGAGTCGCTGGTCAATAGGAAGAACAAGTTCTGATATTCTATTGCACAGCATAACGGCTATAGATTGTAAAATACCAGAAAAGAGAAATTTAATTTTTTTTCTAGTATTATTTATGCTCAACTTCTTCTGTGAAACTTCTGTCCTCATCCTTTGATCTATTTCTATTGTGAGCCTAGTGGAGAAATTTTAGCAGTTTTCTTCAGACTGATCTCTTCACCTATTATGCATCCTGCCATCAGATTAATCTTTAAAACAAACAAAAAACAAAACAACTCCTTCATTCCCTTACACAGCCCTAAGTTGCTAAGGTTTTCTCAGAATGAAGTCTCCACTTCTTGATTTGGCATTCAAGGTTTACAAGCAACTTTCCAATCCTATATGCTAATATTCTCCACACATATTATGCTCCATCTTATTTGAATTAACCTGAATATGGCTTTGTTTTTCCACTTCCTGGACTTTGCCTAGTGAAGTTTCATCTCTTTCTTCAAGTTACTGGGCACTTCTCTATATATTTAAAATTTAAAACAGTCTTACTTTTATTAATGTCCTCATTTTGGAGGTGAAGAAACGGAGGATCACGTAGGTCCAGTGAGCTATTCAAAGTCACACAACTAAAATGCAGCAGGTTAAGAATCTAACCCAGGTTTTCTGACTACTCCTCATTTCTTTCCATTACACCATAGCTTTCAGGCACTAGGTTAAGTTTGACAGTAAGGATGGTTGCTGCCTATTTCAAGAGATATCAAACAACCCCTTTACACCAGGTCTCAGGGATCAGATCTCATTTTTAAACTTAGGTCACTCACAGACAGCTCCACAGGTGATAATTAATGTCACCTGACTGAGAACTGTGACCTTGTTTATTGCTCTAGTGCTTGATTATTAAAGAATCAAAGTCTTCCATGTCACATACCTTTTCCTCTTGTTTGGCTCTTATTATGTCATCATTTTCAAACACCACAGTGACTCCTGAGAAGTTTGAGGCATCAGAGCTATGTGTGTCTTCTGTGGCCTCTACAACTTCTGTGATTTCTGTGACGATATTTACATCTGGAACCTCTGGGACCTCATTTTCTGGAACATCTGTCACATCTGTGACGTCGGTGACATCTTCAAGTTCCGAGAAATCTATGCTGTCCATGACATGAATGCCTTTGGTCCATGTGTATGGATGTGGGTTCTGTATAGTTGAAAACTCTGTAATGTCCATGATGTCCACGGAGCCTGTGATATCTGTGCTGTTTGTGATTTCTGAAAAGCTTGAGACCTCTGATGCTTTGAGAACTTTGATTTTCTCATGATTCAAGAGGGAGATGAGGTCCATCCACTGAGAAAATAAGGCTTCCTGTTTATATGGAGGAGCACAGAGCTGTAAGTAGTAGGCTCGGCCACTCACCAGCTTTAATCTGAGGCGCAAGTTCTTAGCATCATGCACAGAAAGAGTAACAAACTGCAGAGGGAGAAACCTGAAAATGAATGCAAATGTAACATTATCTGGAGACCTGGTTGGAGACCTATAAAACAGCCTTTCCTTTTATATTTTGTGTCAGCTTGAAGAGTGAGACTCAGGAAAAGGACTTTTGTCCCAGATAGTTCTGAAGGAGGACTCCTCAGAGTCATCTCATCCTAATCATGTGTCTAGAACTCTGATATACTAAAAAATGAGAATGCCACCTATTTATCATGAGAAAATATGCATTTTAATTAACTCTAAAAGAGCTGTGTCTCAGAGAAATTAAGTGATTTGCTCAACATTGTAGAGCAAGTGACTGACCGAGACAAGACCAGAGCTAATTCTGATGGCAGCCAGGACGTTGCGTGGAGAGGAGGCGTGTTCTTGGGAGATTATTTATTATGAGTCATCAGTTTTTGTTACTTAGGTTTATTTATTTTATTTTTAAAAAAATATTTATTTTTTAGTTGTAGTTGGATACAATGCACTTATTTTATTTATTTGTATGTGGTGCTGAGGATTGAACCCAGGGCCTTGCACATGCAAGGCAAGCGCTCTACCGCTGAGCCACAACCTCAGCCCCAGGTTTATTTATTTTTAAATTAACTGCCTGTTTGACTTTGTCATAAACCATGTTCCTTGACTTTGAGAACAGTTTTACGTCATTTGCATTAGGCAATGCAAGTGAGATGCTTCTTTGGAGCAATTGTCATCAGCGGTTCCATTTCCACAGGGCTCATGCATATTTTCTAAGAGATTCTTAACCTCTTCTCTTTGTAACTCACCTTGTAAGCACCAGCTTCCCTGTAGAAGGGGATGTCAGGAGACTTTCAAACAGGGATTCTGAACGTTTTTTAGCAGCAGGTGTCAGATGTGCTAGCAGCATCACATTGGGAGTCTTCTGGGTGGAACTGGAAGAACAGATGCCTACAGTCACCCAGTTGGCTCGATTATGGAGGTAAATGGATTCACCTCTTCTGTTGACCTGAGTGCAGAGAACAAGACAATGATTTAAAATATATATATATATATTTAGTTGTTGTTGGACCTTTATTTTATTCCTTTTTTTATATGTGGTGCTGAGAATTGAAACCAGGCCTCATGAGAGACAAGGGTTCTCCATAGAACCACAGCCCCAGCCTGAAGATGATTTTTGATGAAAGTCACAAAATAGGAAGCCTCCCTTACTGGATCAATGTAAGAGAAGTCAGGATACAGAGGAGAAATTAATCATTATGTATTTATTCCTTTGTTTGTTTGGGTTAATTTTTGGAAATACCACAAGTGAATAGACATAATCCCTTCATGTGTGGGGGTCTCCCAGGGAAGACAAACATTAAACAACTTAAGTAACTAATTATTACTGTAGCAAGTATTACCAAGAACAAATTCTGGGAACATTTAACAGAGCACTTAGCTTAGGGTGGGATATAGCCAGTGATGTGACAGTAAATGTTTAACTTTTTGAAAATGTTACTGATAGTTGGGTAGCAGGAGATGAAAGCTAATCTCAGCAACTTAGCAAAACTTGCAGCAACTTTGTGAGACCCTATTTCAAAATAAAAAAGGACTAGAACTATGGTTTAGTGGTAAAGTACTCCTGGGTTCAATACCCAGTACTAAAAACAACAACAACAAAATGTTACAGATACATTGGGCAGTGGTAAGAGTGCTTACATAGCATGCATGAGGCCCTGACTTTGATCCCTGGCAACACAAAAAATAAATACATAAATAAATGAAAACTGAAATAAAATGTTACTGATATAAAAGATGAGCACCATACAATTTACATAAAACACACAATATTCTTTACTTTTAATACCATAGAGTCAAGTAACGTATTCTATAAACCTTTGTCAAACTCTTGCATCCGTAACCTCAAGAACATAGATAACTCTTGGAAGATCAAGATGGCGGCGAGGGGAGTGCATTGCCCCCGTGTGCCGTGTCACTGAGTGGGAAAATGACGAGTCAGGACGGCTAAAGGCTATCTTGTTAGGAATTTCCAGCAATAGTGGGGTGCTCCGGGACCTGGAGGAAGGATTTCCATCGCACGAGGATTGGCTACGGGGACTCAAACGCGAGAGATTTGTTGCACGGAGGGTAACACTGCTTATTCAGCAAATCGCCCCGCGGCTAGAGTCTGCAGCGTGTGCTGGGAAATGAGGAGATAGCGACGCAGGGATACAGCACTGCAGTTTCTGCCAGCCGTGCAAGCACTGTACTCAGTGCTGAATTCTGGGTTCAAGACGGGGGAAGGAAGAGGTCCAATTCGGTTCTCCACACTGGTCAGACCACAGAGGAGGCCAGCGGCCACCATCTTGGAGAGCTGACGTCACCATCCCTGTTTTTGACTGACTGCAGCTCATTCAGCCATAGAACAGGTAATTTCAGGCTGCCATTCGCCTGCGGCTTGCAGACAGATTACTCAGGCTCAGTGCTAAATAACCCGTGGAAACTGCTTCTTGGAGCCTGCTCTTATCAGAGCATACACCGAGCACGGAGCGGCCGAGTTCCGGCTCCCGGAACTGCTCTGGCCCAGGGCTAAGGAGCCCGCGGAAACTGCTTCTCGGTCCGGGTCCTGCTGAGTACTGTGGAGGTAAATACCAACCGAGCCTTCGTGGGCAGCGGCAACAGGACTGAGACGGGGCCTGTGAGGGCCGGTCAGGACTCATCCGTTGCTTTGGTTACCCGGCAAAGGGAACGAAATGCTGCCATTCGCATAGGATACCAACATGGCAGAGATCTGATGTCATCAGAAAACGGCAGAGGAGAGAACTTCATCAATACCAGGGGCGACAGAAACAGTTGGTCTCCTGGTAGGGAGGGTGAGTCACAGACACCCGAGTCTCTCTCGCTTTGTCTTCGAGCCAGAGGGGAGGAGCCGGGCCGCCTCCCACGCCCGGAGCAGGCCCAGCGGCTCGCCGGCGTGGTGGTCACGTGACCCCAATTGGAGAGGGGGCGGAGCGGAGCTGCCACCCGCGCCCGCAGGGTGGGCAGACCTGCGACCCAGTGGTACACGGGTGTGGTAGGAGGGGCAGGGCAGAGCCGCCGCCCGCGCCTGCAAGGTAGGCAGACCTGTGACAGACCGGCGGATCAGGCCCAGCGGCCTGCCGGCGTGGTATACTCGTCACCCCAATTGGAGTAGGGGCAGAGCAGAGCCGCCGCCCGCACCCGAAACAGGCCCAGTGACCTGCTGGCATGGTAGACACGTCACCCCAATTGGAGTAAGGGCAGAGCAGAGCCGCCGCCCATGCCTGCAAGGTAGGCAGACCTGTGACTGACCAGCAGAACAGGCCCAGGTGTCTGCGGGCGTGGTAGACACCTCACACCAATTGGAGGAGGGGCAGAGCAGAGCCGCCGCCCGCGCCTGCAAGGTAGGCAGACTGCCGCCCGACCCTGCAAGGGAGACTTTTCAACTATACAAGAGCAATATAAATATATAGGGGAAAAAAACATTTCAAAAACACAACAGTTTCATCAAGCAGAAAGAAACGCAAGCAGTATGAAAAGACAAGGAAAGAAAGGGCCACAAGCAATGCAGGTCAACTCAACTTTAGAAGAGGTAACAGCTGCAGCAGATGGAATGTCAGATAAAGAATTCAGGAGATATATGCTTCAGATGATCTGGAGTCTCAAGGAAGACATTAGACAGCAAAATCAGACAATGAAAGATCACTTCGACAATGAATTACACAAACAAATCCAGGAAGCAAAGGATCAACTATACAGGGAGATAGAGGTTATAAAAAACAAACAAACAGAAATCCTAGAAATGCAGGAAGCAATAAACCAACTTAAAAACTCAATTAAGAATACTACCAGCAGAGTAGAACACTCAGAAGATAGAACATCAGACAATGAAGACAAAGTATTTCAACTTGAAAAGAACATAGACAGCTCAGCAAGACTGTTAAGAAACCATGAGCAGAACATCCAAGAAATATGGGATAACATTAAGAGACCAAACTTAAGAGTTATTGGGATACAGGAAGGTATAGAACTCCAAACCAAAGGAATGAGCAATCTATTCAATGAAATAATACAAGAAAACTTCCCAGACTTGAAGAATGAGACAGAATCCCAAATCCTAGAAGCCTACAGGACGCCGAATGTGCAAAATCATAAGAGATCCACACCTAGACACATTATAATGAAGATGCCCAACATACAGAATAAGGAGAGAATTTTAAAAGCTACAAGAGAAAGGAAGCAGATTACATTTAGGGGTAAGCCAATCAGGATAACAGCTGATATTTCAACACAGATTCTGAAAGCTAGAAGATCCTGGAATAACATATTTCAAACACTGAAAGAAAATGGGTTCCAACCAAGAATTGTGTATCCAGCGAAATTAAGCTTCAGGATGGAAGATGAAATTAAAACCTTCCACGATAAACAAAAGTTAAAAGAATTTGCAGCTAGAAAACCATCTCTTCAAAACATCCTCGGCAAAACATTACAGGAAGAGGAAATGGAAAATAACAATGAAAACCAACAGTGGGAGGTAGGACAGTAAAGGGGGGGAAAATAATCAAAGAGGAAAACAAACCATGTTTAGTAACAGAAATAAACAAATATGGCTGGAAGAACAACCCATATCTCAATAATAACCCTAAATGTTAATGGCTTAAACTCACCAATTAAGAGACAGGCTAGTAGAATGGATCACAAAACAAGACCCAACAATATGCTGCCTACAGGAGACGCACTTGATAGGAAAAGACATACATAGGCTGAAGGTGAAAGGTTGGGAAAAATCATATCACTCATATGGACTTCGGAAACAAGCAGGAGTGTCCATACTCATATCAAATAAAATAGATTTCAAGCCAAAGTTAATCAAAAGGGACAAAGAGGGACACTACATACTGCTTAAGTGAACCATACACCAACAAGACATAACAATCATAAATATATATGCCCCAAACAATGGTGCAGCTATGTTCATCAAACAAACTCTTCTCAAGTTCAAGAGTCTAATAGACCACCATACAATAATCATGGGAGACTTCAACACACCTCTCTCGCCACAGGACAGATCTTCCAAACAAAAGTTGAATAAGGAAACTATAGAACTCAATAACACAAAAAATAACCTAGACTTAATTGACATATATAGAATATACCACCCAACATCAAGCAGTTACACTTTTTTCTCAGCAGCACATGGATCCTTCTCAAAAATAGATCATATATTATGTCACAGGGCAACTCTTAGACAATATAAAGGAGTAGAGATAATACCATGCATCTTATCTGATCATAATGGAATGAAACTGAAAATCAACGATAAAAGAAGGAAGGAAAAATCATGCATCACTTGGATAATGAACAATAGGTTACTGAATGATCAATGGGTTATAGAAGACATCAAGGAGGAAATTAAAAAATTCTTAGAGATAAATGAAAACACAGACACAACATATAGGGATCTATGGGACACATTGAAAGCAGTTCTAAGAGGAATATTCATTGCTTGGAGTTCATTCCTTAAAAAAAGAAAAAAACAACAAATAAATGATCTCATACTTCATCTCAAAATCCTAGAAAAAGAAGAGCAAAACAACAGCAAAAGAAGTAGAAGGCAAGAAATAATTAAAATCAGAGCTGAAATTAATGAAATCGAAACAAAAGAAACAATTGAAAAAATTGACAAAACTAAAAGTTGGTTCTTTGAAAAAATAAACAAAATCGACAGACCCTTAGCCATGCTAGCGAAGAGAAGAAGAGAGAGAACTCAAATTACTAGCATATGGGATGAAAAAGGCAATATCACAACAGACACTTCAGAAATACAGAAGATAATCAGAAATTATTTTGAATCCTTATACTCCAATAAATTAGAAAATAGTGAAGGCATCGATAAATTTCTTAAGTCATATGATCTGCCCAGATTGAGTCAGGAGGATATAGACAACCTAAACAGACCAATATCAATTGAGGAAATAGAAGAAACCATCAAAAGTCTACCAACTAAGA